CACACACACACACACACACACACACACACACACACACACACGCGCGCGCGCGCGCACGCATGGATAATGTTCGAAAACGCATCATAGAGATTGTTTGAATTTTATGATGAAATAATATTAAATAGTCATTCCATATTTAATAAGAATATCAAACTTATTTGCATAGTTAAACGAACTTTACCGGATCCAAAGATTCAAGATGACAGTCTGTTACACGTTACACGCGGACAAGATCTCTATGTGAATTGTACTGTCAATGTAGATGTATCCACGAAATATGTATTTGATTGGAACACGCCGAAGAAGGTAAGCAAATTGTTTTAGAGTTACATATAATAAAAAACGAAATTCGAATAAGATTACACTTTTATTAAGAGCCTTAATTAATCTTCAGTTAATACAAAAAAATGTTGAGATAGAGATAAAGCAAGTTTTTTTCTTATTTGAACCTTTCTTTTTGTATCTTCTTTAAATTGTTTGTTCTTCAAACAGATATATCATTAATTACTTGCATTATTTCCATTTTAAAAAGATAAAAAATATTTTTAATGTTACTTTTAATATCCTTAATCATTTATTTTTTAAAACAAGAATTAAAAGTTCTAGTCTTCCCGCGTAAATCTCTCTTCGATTGCAATATTCACATATATACACGGAATCTTTTTTTTTATTTATAGAATAGCAATAGAATAAGCACTGAGCAATTCAGAAAACAATTCGATGGGAATTCTGTCTTAGTTACATGTCAGTTAATAATATTAAATGTTACGGACGAAGATGCAGGTGAATATGAGTGCTTCATTAGATCGATTGACGACATAAAGAAGATCACAACAAATATTACAATACATGGTTAGTTTATTATTTAATGGAGAAATTGCGTATCTCAGTTCTCAATTAAATAATTAAATAATATATAATAATATATATTATTAAATAATATATATTATTAGAAGAGAGTCATATAATATCACAAAATACATGAAAAATTAAAGAGTTATTCTATTTTGACTAATTTGAAAAATAGAGATTCTTTGGGCTTTGGGATTGCGGGAAAAGTATAAATGCGATCCATTTCCAATTTAACATTTTATTAGCATATATCTTTAATTTCTTGTGTTGTAAATTTTATTAAAAAATATTAATCTTTTGCAAAGCTTTTGCAAAGCAATGCGTATAAAACGTTTTACATACGGAAAATAGTATATATGATCCGTCATTTTGATTATCTTGAAACAAACAAACGAATAAGTTTTATAAATTAATTATAATATAACTAAATTATAATGTGTAACTCTTGTCTGATCGAGCTTTTTTCCATTTTTTTGAAAATGACGAAAATATAATGTTACATTTATGTTACATTTTTGCTATACATTTTGATACTATAAATTTTATTGTATTTTGCAAATTAAAAATATTATTAACAAAATTGTGGCGACGAAAATTACTGTTTTCCTGAACGTATCATGATATGTTTCAAATTTCAAGTCAATTTGTTAATTACAGTCTGAGAACTCATGCACCTTTTTGAAAAACACAATTTCGAGAAAAATATGTTTAAAATTTGACTATTTGATATCATGCAGTTTTTCGTGTTTTACTTTCAATCATCCATGCCTGTTCTATAAAATGGATCTTCTTCTTTTATCTTGCACTTTTTCTTATATTCCTATTGCGCTCGAAAAAAGCAAAAATTGAAAAGGAGAATTATATTTCTATACAATTCTACATAGTATTTTACTGCTCTTATTCATCTATACATAGTATGAGAGTCCACTTCAAATGCTATAACTCAAAGAATATTTTAAGTATTCACTTGGGACCTTTTGCATACTAATTGTAAGACTTAAAACTATTTTTTAAAGCAAAAAAAGTAAATGTTTTGAAAATTTCAAAACAGAATAACTCTGTAATAGAATTGTACATATATGTTTTAACACGAAATAAATCCTCCCATAAAATAAATCAACTTATTTCTAATTTCAGATCCTAAAATAAAATATATTAATCTTATACCTCAACATAGTGATAAATATTATCAAGCAGAAAGTGGTAGTTATATTCAATGGGTTGTTTATGTTGATGGATATCCGAAACCTCATTTGCAATGGTAAAAACTTATAATATATTAAGAATATAGTTTTAACAATCAAATAAAAGAATTATATTAATATATATTATTCACATACGTGCAACTAAAATATTAAAATATATTTAATCATTTGTGTTGTTTTCTTGCATTGTCTATTAGTCATAATAAATGTATATTAAACATATGTTTTATAGGTACAATCCAAATGGCGTTGAAATTACAGGAAATCAAAAATATTTTGTAAATACAAGCGCAACAGCTACCATTTTAAAAATAATCTCATTGAACGTAAGAGACACAGGAAATTATACGATTGAAGCCAAAAATGATCAAATAATCGAGAAATTAAACTTTACATTGGATGTCATAGGTATTCATATTACCTTTTAATTTTAAAATACAATGCACAGTTGTGTATATAATTATTGTTTGTAATATTAATGATTTTAGCTAAACCATATTCTATATTGAGACATATTGAACCTTATTATCCACTAAACGAAACTACAGAATTTCATTGTGAAGTGATATCTAACCCTTCACCAAACATAACATGGAGTTTTCAGAAATGTCCTAATTATCCGTCACTTGAAAATTCAACTATTATACATCTAATGGTAAATGAAATTTTATGTTAACTTGATTCCATCAGACGAGCTTCCATCTGTTTCTGCTTTGTGTAATGAAAACAATTTCATGAATTTTGCAGAACATAATGCAAAGTGCTGCTTACAGTTCTAATGGATTCGAATCAACGGTGAAGATGCCTATCGAGATGTCTGGGAAAATAACATGTAGGGCCTGTAATGTTCTTGGTTGTGATTCTACGACTGACAGCATTCTTGTTTCTGGTAAGAATATTTTCTTTTGCACTTATTCTCTAACTATCATAATTCGTTCTCAATACATATTGTTTGATCAGGTTTCTAATTGGAAGTCTTGATAGATGGGAAAAAGCAATATTCAACATTATTAAAATGTTATGATTAGATGAATTATTAAATTCTTTATTTATTTATTTGCTAATTAAATTTTAAAAGTATTTGTCCATTTTAATTATAAAATTGATATACATTAAATAAATACATGATATCGGTACATGATATTTAAAAAATAGATTTTATATCATATCGGTTAAATTCCGGCATGACACGATCAAGGCAGAATTTTTAGCGCCTATTAATTAAAAAAATTTTTTAATTATTACATATATAAGATGTATCTTATATAATTAGATAATAAATATATAAAAAATATATAAAATATCACTAATTCACTAAAATATCACTAATTTTTTTTACTTTTAATTTTAATCAGATGGATTAGGTGCTTTTGGCATTATTGGACCAAAAGAGGCTGTAACGAAAGGTGATAATATCGAATTAGTATGTGCTGCTTCCGTCTACAATTACACGAATCATTTTACATG